TACATTCAGATGTTCCCACAGTGTCTCTGGGCCTCCTCCCCCAAATCTCAGGAGCCGAGAACAGCAAGGAAGACCTTTGCTCTGGACGATCTCTGGCCCTCGATTTGTTTGTGCTGGCTTAATGGTTACCTTCTGTCTGCCAGCAGAATCGCCACCCTCTCCAGTGGGTTAGGGGCTGGGAAGGCTCAGCTGAGGAGCCACAAGCCCCACCAACCCACCCCACCCGAGGTTTGTGGGTGCTGGGGACCACCCTCCTCGCTTGTGTTCCAACATAAACCCCAGTTGCCCTTGGGAGACCGAGGTGGCGCAAAGGACCTCCCACAGGCAGCCGCTGACCCCGGACCCCTGCAGGTTGCCTGCGCGCGTGTGACGGCATGGAAGGCTGTGGGAGAATTCCGCCCCACTGGCGGGTGGGAAGGCAGCTTTTCCGTCTGGGGCTGTGGGGCCCGCGCTCCGGGCAGACGCAGAAAGGAAAGGGGCGTGCAGTGCATGTGCGTAGGGAAGGATGTTCTGGAACTGCGTCGGCCTTTTGAACTGAGGGTCGCTTTGTCTTCGGCCAGCCTCGGCACTGGATTCCGGCACTGACTTGGCACTCCGGAAGGAGATGCCAAGAACCTCCGTCTCTGCGGAACATGGTACGGCTGACGCCAAGTGGCGTCACGGCTGAGGCAACTGGCCAAGGTCCAGCATCTGGACCTTTGGCCCCGGGACAGCCAGTGGCCTCGGGCAGTTGCCAAATTGGGGGCCTTGGAGGGGAAAAGCCTACCTCCCCCCCGCCCAGCAGGATCTTAAGGAACCTTCTGCCCCACGCGCAGCGAGTCTCTGCGGAGCAGGCTCCTGGCAGAGCGTGGGACCAGGTGCCGTGGCCGCTCGGGCAGGCTGGAATGGCACACACAGGGACTTTGTTTGGCCAGGGTGGGCGGAAGTCCTAACAGGCGGTCTGAATTCTAAAGTGTGTTGTTTGGTGGCCGATAAAGGGCTTATTGTATGCAAACTAGTTTATAAAGCAGCATATGACTTTCGCGAGATGGGCACAGTTTGCCGGAGGCCTGCGCCTGCAGAGGGAGCCTGCGGCTGCCTTGCAAAAACACCGTTTTCCACGGCAAGGAAAGGGCCGGTCGGGAGGTAAGGAATGAATGGGCCGGCTGGGAGCTGACGGGGACTCGCAGGGGGGCTTGGGAAGAGGGCAAAAGCTGGGCATTGGGAGAAACCCATCAGAAGCCCATCTCTTTTGGCCTTATCCACCCTAATTTTGTGGGGCTCCTAGCAACAGGACATTGGTGATACCAGTCGGGCTTATCGTAAGTTCCCCAAAGCGTGCTACTCAATATTTTTAAAAATCTGTTTGTATTTCTGTAACTGTTCATCAGCATGCCACTCCATGCAATGGCTGTGTTGGTGCAGCTGGTAAGGCCCTCTGTTGAATTTCTGAAGAAGGGAAAGACTCGGCAGGCAGTCCAGGGAGTGGCAGTACTCGGCTTCCAGAGAGTACCTAGAATGTGCCCCCTTCTCCAGGGCACGAGGGCACCCAAGCTGTATCTCTGACCCTTCTTGCAGGAAAGGCCCCGGAATCTCCATTTGGGGTCTCCGGAGGAAGGGGCAGGGCAAAAGACGTGCTGGGCTACGGGGAGCATCTTGATCTCTGTCTCTCCCAGGGAAGGCTCCCCGGTTGCTCAGATCCATCCTCCGCTTCCAGCCTGGCCCAGCAGAGCTGCTTAGGTGTACAAGTCTGGGGTGTGCAGCCCTCACAGCAATGGGGGAGACCAGCCAGGGTGGCATCAGCCCCAGGAGCTTGTGAAGAAGAGTGGAAGATTGTCACAGGCTCCTCTTTTTCTGCCAGAGGGACAGGGCCAAGTCCACGCCAGCCTTATGGATTTGGTGGGAGCTGCCAAAGGAAGCGGTGGGAAACTGCCAGCCCTTGTAGGTGTTGGCAGCGCCATTCTGACTGCAGCATCTTGCCAATCCTTTCGTCGTGGTAGGCCGGGTCAAGAAAGAGAAGGGCGGGGGTGGCAGCAGGGGTCTCTTTCCGTTTGTCTCGGCATGACCGGCTGGGCATGGGGGCTCAGGACAATCCTGGGGGCGGACGACACACGGACGCTTCGGAGGGCAGGGCTGCCCAGGGCTTCGGCGAGGAGAGCTCTAACCTTCGGCCTTATCACCACCAAGTGGTTTGAAGTAAAACGAGGTGGCTTAAGGGGGTGGCGATTGGGGGGCGGGGGGTGGGGGGAGATGGGGACAGTGGTTCTTTGCAGTCCCCACCCAGAGAAACGTGCGGGAGAGATTGAGCCACTCTGACTAGTCCCGGCCCTTTTCTTTCAGGTCTGAGGTGCAATGAAGTGGGAAGGCTTCTACACCCTGGTCATCGGAGTGAACCGCCACTCCACTGCCATCGGCCGCATCTGGCTCTCCGTGGTGTTCATCTTCCGCATCATGGTGCTGGTGGTGGCGGCCGAGAGCGTCTGGGGCGACGAGCAGTCCTCCTTCACCTGCAACACCCAGCAGCCCGGCTGTAAGAACGTCTGCTACGATTACTACTTCCCCATCTCCCACATCCGGCTCTGGGCGCTGCAGCTCATCCTGGTGACCACACCGGCCCTGCTGGTGGCCATGCACGTAGCCTACCAGCAGCACCAGGAGAAGAAGTTCTTGGTGATGTCCGGCCACGGGGACACCAAGCACCTGGAGGAAGTCAAGAAGCACAAGATGCGCATTTCCGGCTCGCTCTGGTGGACCTACATCTTCAGCGTCCTCTTCCGCCTCCTCTTTGAAGCCGCCTTCATGTACATCTTCTACATGATCTATCCGGGGTACCAGATGATCCGCCTGGTCAAGTGCGATGTCTACCCCTGCCCCAACACCGTGGACTGCTTTGTCTCTCGGCCCACCGAGAAGACCATCTTCACCGTCTTCATGCTGGCCACCTCTGGCTTTTGCATTGTCCTCAACTTGGCCGAAATGGTCCTCCTGATCGTGCGAGCCTGCGCCCGTCGCGTCAACCGAAGCCACAACCCTTCCTCGGGGAAGGGCTCCTTCCTGGGGCACAAGCTCTCTTCGGAGTACAAGCAGAACGAAATCAACCAGCTGCTGACCGAGCACGACAGCTCCCTCAAGGACCTTCTCCGGCGGAACTCGGGGCTGCAGGAGAAGAGTGACCGGTGCTCGGCCTGCTAGAGGCCTCAGGCTGTCAGTGGGTTATTGGGCCCCGGCCTGATGGAGAGCAGAGGACTCTTCTGGTCGGCCAAACTGCCCTGTCGCGGCACTGTCTCAAGCCCTTCTGGGGGAACTGGGCTGGGGCTTTTCCCTCACCCCTGCCGTCACCAGCTACCGTCTTACACTTCCTTCCCGTCGGCTTACAGGCTCTGTAGAGTGTTTCTGGGGATTTTGCAGGCACCGGATCGGTCTGGGGAACGCCCTGGTTGCAGCTAGGTGAAGCCCACAGGCTGGTGGTCTGCAACGGGGGCTCCTGAAGGTCGCTGCAGGCCCTTTCCGGCCAGGAAATCCAATTGCAGCCCGGCTCGCCGGCTGCATTTTACTGTACCAAAGCAAGTCACAGTATTAAAACGATTTTGCAGGTCCTTCCTTCAGTGGTTTTTCTTTGGGCTTCCAGGTCGGCAGACGAAAAGTTGCTTTAGCTGGAGAGGCCGACCTTCCTCCTCCGCTTGAATTCCTGGCCGGCCACTGTTTGCTGAAAAGTACGTCCGGAGGTGGGAGGAATCTCCCCTTCCCATCCCCAAGTCTGGATCCAGCCAAAGAACTCCTGCCAGGAGCCTAAGCAGAAGAGGGGGAGAGGGGGCTGAGGAAAGAGGCGGCAGCTGGCAGGACCCTTAGCCAGTTTGGGGGGGGGGGAGGCAAGCTGGCTTAGTCCAGGTGTCCTGACCTGCCAGCCGAAGGAGAGGCAGAGGGTTTTGCAGAGATGGGGCACAAGGGGCACGGCGGCAGATCAACCCGGCTTCCCTTTTTTTTGTGGGGCTGGTAGCTAAAGGCAAGACTCCTCCTCCCCCTGTAGGAGAGGCGTAAGGAGCCAGGCGCAGTAAAGGCGGAGGAAACCCTGTAATGGGAAAGGCAGCCAGGCAAAGCTCGGAGGGCACCCAAGTGCCACTGCTGGATGAGGGAAGGGCAGGGGCTCGGAGCCCCCACTGGGGCAATGGACGCTTGAAGGGCTCAGTCGAAATGGGGCAATCGGGGCAGTTGAGGCGGTCCGGACTCAGTCAAGTGGGTGGGCTGGCCCAACATCTCCCTGGCATCTTTCCCCACTCCAGAGACTATCCAGCTCCTTGTTGGGCTGCGCCCTGGCTTGAGACTGTCCTCCTTCCCTTCTTGCCCAACCTTTGAGCGCCTCCTCGTCCCACATTCAGGCAGGAACAGGTGGAATTTCCATCCGGGGGAGAAACCCCACCTGCTCCGCAGCCACTGCCAGGTTGAGGCACAAGGGGCCTCTCCCACAAACACAGCGCCCGGGTTGAGCCCTCCGCCCAGGCTCGCTTCTCTTCAGCTGGGGCCTAAAAGCAGATCGCCTTTCCTTGCTGTGTTCCGGCTGCCCTTCCCGCTTGCCCCATGGCCCGGAGGCAGCTGGAACGCCTGCCTTGAGCTGTTCCCCGCATGAACACAAACCATGGCACCTCGGGGGATGGGGGGAGGTAATTCCTAGCTTGCACAGACCATGAAGTCCACTGTAGGGCACCAAGCTGGGCAAAGACTGCCTCTGGCTCTGACCACAGCAGCAGCTCCCCAAACGCTGATGTGAGCTACTGCCCCCTAATGGCCGAAGGGTGAAAGAACACACAGGAGACGGGCAGCCCAGATCGTTCCTCCGGTAGGCCAGAAAGAGAAATCGGGGGGAGGGGGGAGCTGGCTCCCCACTGATCTGGAGGCCCTCCCGGCTGACCTCTGGGGCTGCAGCACCATGTTTCTCCCCCCCCCCTTCGCCAGAAAGAGCCAAAACCAGAGAGCTTTTTCTGCCTTTATTTGAAATGAATGATTTCCAGAGAGACGCAGGGGAGTGGGGTGGGGGGCCGGGTCTGAACGTCCAGTATATCACAACGCGATAACGAGGCCCACAACTGGCTCACTGGAGACACGGACACTGCAGGGCTGGGCCAGGACAATGTATATACAGGCTCAACAAACGGCACCACCACCAGCCATAGCTCAGAGCTCAACGCCACACACAGAGACAGGGAGGGGGGACCTGGGTGCGAGGCAGCCTCTGAGCCCCTGGAGGAAGAGCAGCAGGCCGGGGCCAGATGTCAGCGGAAGGGCAGGGGGTACAAGAGAACGGGCCCTTGGGAGCCACCCCCCCTCCCTCCCTCCTTTCCCTCCAGGGAAGGGCTCTCGATCTACCCCTAAGTCCAGAAGCCACCTGCGCCCCCTTCCCTGCCAGTCTGGAGAGAGAGACCAGGTGATGAGGCCAGCCAAGCAGGGACCCCCAAGAAGCGTGGGGAGGGCGGAGACACCAGAGGACCATTGCCAGGGTGGAAGAGGCAGTGGCCGAGTCCTTTATGCCTGTCCTCCAGAAAGGGAAGGGCTGACGGGCGAGCTACCCCCGGTCCCTGCAGCCGGGGATGGGGGGGAGCAGCACCGGAGCCCACCTTCTCTCACAGCGAGGGCCGCCCGGGTCAGTCCATGTCGTCATCCAGGCCTCCCACCCCACGGCTGTGCTCCTCGTAGATCTCACGCACGGCCAGGATACGGTTCAGCATACTCTCCAGCATGCTCTTGTCCATGGGGATGACCGAGTACCAGAGCGGGGACTCCGCGATGCAGGAGCGCTCCGGCTGCAGGTAGAAGACGTCGTTGCGGCTGCGGAGGCTCTCGGGGCTGCGGGCCAGAGGGGGAGAAAGGGGGGCATCAGAGGAGGGAAGGGGAGCCCTGGATGGACAGCCGGAGGGACCCACGCCCCTCGGGCTCCTCCCAAGCCTGCCCTGGAAAAGCCACAACCGGCACCCTCCTGCTCCCCCCTCACCATTTGGAGAGATAGAACTCGTAGAACTTGACCGGGCAGCGCAAGGGATTCAGGCGGTTTTCCCGCTGCTCCAAGACCGGCGCCTCCTCCTCTCTCTTCCGCTTGCCCAGGCTGCTCTCTGCGTGGAAGGGGCGACAGAGGTTGAGTGGGGATGGGCGGGGTTGGGGAACAGGGGTGGGAGCACAAGGTGTCGTCCTTACCTCGGCCCTTCCGGTGCCGCACAGGCGCGTAGTAGCGGATGCTCACGACTTTGGCCGAGCCCCGCGGCATGGTGCACTTGCGCGACTGCCGCACCACGTTGGTGAAGGAGAGCTGCATGTGCTCCTCGGCCGTCTGCAGCCCGAAGTACTTGGTGTTGAAGAACATGAGGGTGTTGAGCAGCACAAATGGGGAGTAGACGCCCAGCTGCTTGCAGTCCCAGAGGTGCTCCTCTTCCACGCGGGAGAAGACCGTGCCTGCAAAGGCGCAGGACGCAGCCAGCCGTGAGGGCAGGCAGGTGGCCTGGGGTCAAAACTAAACTGGAGGAGGGGGGGAACCTGGGCTCCAGAGAGCCTTGAAGGACATGATGCCCCTGGCACAGCTGAATTTTGAGGTCCCAGGAAGGGACTTCCGGCGTTCCTGCCTATGCTGCTAGCGCTGGGAATCCCACTCCCATCATCCTAAGCCTTTGGAGCCTCCAAGCTGTTTCTATGGGTTCCCCTCGTGATCCGAGCCAGACTGGCAGCGTTTCGGTCCCAGAACAGCACTGGGGGGACGTAGCGGGAGGTCAGAAGGAGACAACTTTGGACACACCATGATGCTCAATGCTCCCTCTCACACCGGAGGTCTTCGCACACCCCTCCCCAGGCTGCCTTATCTGAGGATGCAGCCGAAACACTCCTGGGTTCAGGCCTGCGGGGAGACTTGGCCAACCCCAGCCTAGGAGGCCATCCCCTGCCTTTCCAAGAGCCCCCCACCCCCAGCAAGACACTCACTATTGGGCAGGACCGAAGGCTGCCATCCGCTCAGCAACTTGTTCAGTTCTTGCACAAAAGTCAGGTAATAGAGGTCGGTGAAGATGTTGACCATGCGGTTGTTCTCCAACAAGTACTGGAAAGGCCGAAGGTCACAAGGTCAAAGAGGACACCTCTCAATCTGCCTCTCACGTGGCCCCGCCCTCCTCTCTGGGGTCCCCCCCCGCCCCACAAAGGTGTGGTGAGGGCTGCTTCACACAGAAGTAGCGGCTGCTTTTCTTACCCCACAGAAAGGCAAAATATGCCCCCCATCCCCCCCCCGCCCTGCCCCCCCCCCAGGGAAGAGGCCATCCACAGCTGGCAGGAAAGCCTTATCCATGGAGAGCATCTATGGAGGTCTTCC